CCTCCACCCATCCCACCCCCCCCATCTGCTCCTCAGAGAGGGTAAGGCATGGGGAGTCAACAAAGTCTGGTATACTAAGTTGAGACAGGACCAAGCCCCTCCCCCTGTGTCCAGGCTGAGCAAGATGTTCCACCCTAGGGAATGTGTTCCAAAAAGCCATTTCATGCACCCGGGATAAGTCCTGGCCAAACTGCCAGGGGCTCCCCAAACAGATCTAGCCACATAACTGTCATCCACATTCAGAGGACCTAGTTTGGTCCCATACATGTTCCCCAGTTGACAGGCCCAAGTCCGTGGACTCCGATCAGCTTGAGTCAGCTGTCTGTCTCTGTGGTTTTCCCCATCATGACCTTGACCTCACTTTCTCCTCTGATCCCTCTTCCCTCTCTTCAACTGGAGTCTAGGAGCTTAGCCCAGTGCTTGGTTGTGGATCACTGCATCTGCTTCCATCAGATACTGGATGTGGGTTCTATGATGACAATTAAGGTAGTCACTAATCTGATTATAGGGGAAGGTAAGTTCAGGCACCCTTTCCACCATTGCTAGGAGTCTTATCTGGTGTCATCCTTGTGGATTCCTGGGGATTTTCCTAGCACCAGGTTTCTCCCTAACCCCCTGATGGTTCCCTCTATCAAGATATTTCTTTGACTGTACTCTCTCTCCCTCCCTCCCTCCCTCCCTCCCTCCACTCAGTTCCCCCTGTTCCCATCCCCCACTCCTCCCTTCTACCCCTACTCCCAGTTTACCCTGAAGATCTTAACTATTTTCTCTTCCTGAGGCCCTTGATGTGTGTCCCTCTTAGGGTCCTCATTGTTACCTAGCTTCTCTGGGTTTGTGGGTTGTAGCCTGGTTATCCTTTGCTTTGCATCTAATATTCATTAAGAGTGAATACATACTGTGTTTGTCTTTCTGGATCTGGGTTACCTCACTCAGGATGATTCTTTCTAGTTAGGAAGGAAATCTTTAGCTTTCTTCTTATTCTTAAGATCATAAATTGGGGGCTGGAAAGATGGGTCAGAGGTTAAGAGCACTGGCTTTTTTTCCAAAGGTCCTGAGTTCAATTCCCAACAACCACATGGTGGCTCACAACCATCAATAATGAGATCTGGTGCCCTCTCTAGCCTGCAGGATACATGCAGGCAGAACACTATAAATAATAAATAAATCTTTTTTTAAAAAAAAAGATCATAAATTGGTGGGTGAAATTAGCTTAGTATTATAAATGCACTTAGATTCTACGTGGTAGGTCTTCTGCTTAGATCTTGGTAGTCCCAGCTTCTCAGCAGGAGAATTGCAAATGCAAGGCTTTCCTGGAATACAGGGTGAGCTCACAGCCAACCTATGCAACTTAGTAAGCCCCTGTTTCAGAAAAACAGAAAAGAAAACTAAAGTGTTCTACACTGTTCTAGGAACATAACCCAGTGGTCAATCACTTGCTTAGCATGCACGAGGCCCTGGGTCCAATTCCCATTAGAAAAAAAAGCGAACACACACATTCTTAGACTCAATAAAAACCATAATCTCTGGCACAATTAAAATAGAACTTTCAAGATATCAGGAATACTGTTTGTTCTTGGTAAATATTTGCCAAAACTTCATTTCATCTAAACCAAGTTTTGGGTCTAAAGCAGCTCACACTCCTGAGGTTCTTGCTCAGCTGCTAACCAGGATGACAGCTTGTTCATAAGTCTAAGACTAAGGGATGCACTAGGCTTCCAATGCTGGCCTGACGAGAATCACCTCACTTCCAGTTTATATGTGTTCTTCCCCTACCCCTCCCCTCAATGGAACCTCACTATTTAGCTCAGGGTGCCTGGAGCTTTTTATGTACACCAAGCTGGCCTCAAACTCAAAGAGAAATCTGCCTAGCTCTGCCTCCTGAGTGCTGGGATTAAAGGTGTGTGCCACCATACCTGGTTTATATGTTAATTTTTGTCTGGTATTTACTTACATAGTGTTTGTATACTCTTACAGTTTTATGATTTTTTTAGGTATTCCTAGCTTAAATTCCTAAGATATTCACAAATGTCTTAGCTGTGCTTGACTTACCTGCTGATACCACACGTCATCTTTCCAACCTAAATGTCAAAAACCCCATCCTTGATTTCTGTTTACAAGAATAACATGTATTGGAAATGCTTCATTTTGGTTGAAGTATGTAGAGAAAACACCGTATCAAAATTTGACAAATGGTGGTATCTTAATGCTCAGGTGCCAGGTGAAACAACAACTTTCTATAGTCTGTAAAATGGACTGGCTTATTTTGCCTCTCAATTCACTTCTTACCCGGGCATGGCAAATTGTAGCATCAACACATTGGTCAGTTAGAAATAATGGTTCTCAGACATGATCTAGACTTCCAGTGTTAACATACCTATGAGCCACTTTTCCCCTCTCTAACAAATTTCTTGAAGTAAAAACAGCCTAAAGGAGCTAAGATTTCCTTTGACTTGCAACTTCCAGTTCATGATTGCTGGACTCCATCACTTTTGGAACTGAGGCAAGGTCAAACATCACACAGTATGTGACAGAGCAAAGCTGCTCATGGATACCAGGAAGCAGACAGAGTGAGAAGCAGAGTCGGGGGATAAGATAAATCCCTCAAAGGCATGCTCTCTGGGACCCAATTCCTCCAACTAGGATCTAGCTATTAACAATCTATGAACTCATCAGTAGATTAACCCATGAAGAGGTCAGAGCCCTCATGGACCAATCACCTCCTGACAGTCCTGTCATGTGGGGATCAATCCTTCGATGTCCACCCTTGTCATAGTCAACATAACAACATGTTTGTGTCAGTCAGATTGCCATGGTGTGACAGGCCATTTGTGTTCATGCTTTTAGTCTCTATCCATGGCTGCCTGGCCCTGGGCTTTGGCCCTATGATGCAGCAGAGCATCGTGGTAGGGAGTATGTAATGGAACAAGGCTACTCCTTTCCAGTCTGGGACCCCAATATCCCCTTCAAGAGCACATCCCCGCTAATTGAATTTCCTCCAACTAGGGTTCTTCTCCTAAAATACCTACCACCTCTCAAGAGCATCCCATGCTATGGATCAAATCTTCAACACACATGCTTTGGGGATCCAGTTACTATTCCAATCACAACAATGTGTCATTGTATAATATACTTAATATTTGCAAGTAGCACCACCAATCTCATGAGAAAAGTCTATCAGGATACTATTGTGTTAGATACAAATTTCCCAGCTTCCAGCTTGCACCTTCATGGTTTAAATGTATGACTGGCAGCAAATACTATCCCCTTGTGTTCCATGAAATGACAAGCTTGCTTTCTTTATTCTAAATAAAATATCTGCCAAGTATCCAAGTCTGAATTACCATGGTTTCTCTATCAGTTGTTCTTCCAGGTTAAAAAGAAACGATACTTTAGTTTTCTTAGCTTAAACTTGGAGTTTCTTAATGGCATTTCCCAACCTAGGAATGATCATGGTAGATTTAAGAAACTGAGCAGAGTTCATTATGGCCTGGATGAAGTGGATAATGTAGGAAGGATGAGGCAAGGATGAAGACATAAGAAGATATGGAATTTGGAGCCTTAAAAACAGAAGAGAGGGGGATGGAGAGGTGGCTCAATGATTAACAACACTGGCTGCTCTTCAGAGGGCCCAGGTTCAATTCCCAGCACCCACATGGCAGCTCACAACTGTCTGCAACTCGAGTTCCAAGGAATCTAACATCCTCACACAGACAATGCGCCTAAAGTAAAGATAAATTATTATTATTTTGGTTGTTTTTCCAGACAGGGTTCCTCTGTAGCCTTGGCTGTCCTGGAACTCACATAGATCCTCCTGCCTCTGCTTCCCAAATGCTGGGATTAAAGTCATGCAGCACCACACCCAGCTAAATAAATTATTTAAACAAACAAACAAAAATAGATGAGAGACTTTATTTGGAGATTGGTAATCATGGAAGGATTTTTAGCCAGGATGTGTAGTTACATCACGTTACATATCTCTCTCTCTCTCTCTCTCTCTCTCTCTCTCTCTCTCTCTCTCTCTCTCTCTCTCCCCTTCTCTCTGCATTTGTATGTGTGTGTGTGAGTGTGTGAGTGTGTGTGTGTGTGTGTGTGTGTAGGCCCACACAGAGGTCAAAGGAGAACCTTGGGTTTTGGTCCTCACCTTTCACCTTATTTGAGACAGGGTCTTTGAGGGTTTTTTGTTTTGTTTTATTTTGTTTTCTAGGGTAGTCTGCCAGGTTAGCTGGCCTGAAAGCTTCTGGAGATTCTCCTGTCTCTGTCTACCATTTCCCTGTAGGAATGCTTGGATTCCAGCTGCTCACTAGAATCTGGCCTTTTCATTGGTTCTGAGGATTTGAATACACTTGTAAAGCAAACACTTCTTACCCACTGAGGCATCTCCCCACAATTACACACAATTACAGTTTTGGAAAATTACTCCAGGTTCCCAGTGGAGAGAGAGTGGGCAGGGTGAATGTAGGAGCAAGGGAATAATTCAGAGGGCATTGCAGTCCATGGTGAGAGGGTGTTGTCTAGACCACAAAGACAGCCAAAGACTGGCAGAAGTGATGGGCCCAGCTTCCTGTTGGAGGGAGAAAAACCTAGACAGCAATGTGACCTCATTTCAATGCAATCTCTTCCTAGACCATACAAGCATCATGCAATGCTGTCCTCAGAGATGCCAAGCTGCAGCCAGCCACAGCCCTCATGATCGTGTGCTGCCCTATGAAAACACAAACACGGAGAAACCTGTCCCCACCAAGCCTGATGAAAAGGTGAGGCGGGAACTTCCCTGCAAGCCCTTCTCACTGTCCTTGGCATCCAGTGAGAGCTTTCTGGGAAAGCTCAGAGCAGATCATTGCGGTTGCCATTAATTAGTTCCTGATACAATGACAAATCAGTGGGTTTTAATGTTTCTAAAACGCTTTGTTGTCTCATATGGCCTTACTCTTTCACTAGATTTTTAACTTGTGTGTTCTGCAGATTCTCAGAATGTTCTGTTCATTAACTCCAGGGGGTGGGAGGGTGGGGCTGACAGATTTAGACTTGTATTTGTGAAGTCTCGTGGATAATTAACTGGAATTTGAATACTAGGATTCGTTTTCCATTGAAAGATTTACAGGTCACATTTCAACTTCAGTTGAGCCTGGGCAGCCGTTTCCTGAGCATTGATTGTATGTGTCAAACAGCGTGAGGAGTCCAGATCCCTGACACAGAAGAGAGCTAGAAACAGCTAAGAAATGGCTTTGTCTTCATTTGTTTCGTGGTCTCTCCTGAAAATCAGCTCCTTTCACACAATCACTTCTCAGCCATTCTTACACTCATGGTTTCCTCTAAGGAGAGTGAGCTTTCTTTCTGTCTTATCTGTTCCACCCTCCATCACCTGTGACATTACCTACTACAGACAGCACCAAAGAAGATGGTGTTGCCCTCATTCCACATCCCTGGCCTATGGGTATCCTGCTCCAGAGTTGTTCATGGTTTGTATGTGAAGCATGTGGGATCTCTGATGAATTCCTTGTAATTCCTATAATATCTCACATTTCCCTGCTTGGCCTTATAATTAATCCCTACCTAATTCTCTAATGGCTTCCCAATCTTCCAATGGGCTCTGGAATATTCTTTCATTTTCCCTTCACTTGGACCTGAATGTTTTTCACTCTGCCACTTTTATAAGCCTCAGGATTCTCGAACTCTAAGTCAATGTCCATGTAAAACCAAACTCTTCCCAGAGCCTGAGTTCCAAAGGTGTGAGAGAAGTTTGTGCTAGATCAGGATATTCCTATTTTCAACAGTTCAATAAATCTTATGACTTGTGACAGATCTCAATCCTCTCAATAATGATGTCTGTGTAATATTTGGTAAATTGGCTGCTTTGACTTTCCATTGCTATGTTAATATTTTTTTTTTCAAGCAGTATTCCAGAGGACAGACAAAGAACAAACTAGAGGTCAATGACCACATTCTACTACTGGGCATATCCCCAAGAGAACAGAAAGCAGAGCCCAACATGATTTGAACATATGTTTATAACATTATAGGTGTCCATTCACAGACAGAGATAAACATCACACACAAACACAGGCATGTGTGCACACACAAAAAGCATCTCAATAGAGAAAAAAAACTGGCATGTTCTACATAGGTAAACTTCAAAAGCATAGCACTAGGTGAAGGAAGACAGACATAAAGGGCAAGCATTTACCTCCTACTATTCATGGTTCCTAGAGCAGCCAGGTCTATAGAGACATCTGGGAGCAATATGGCTCCCCAGGACTGGGAAGGAAAAGGCAGTAATGGAGAGCTGTTGTTTAGTGGGCACAACCTTTCAGTTTGAGAAGATGGGAAATTCTTGGAAATGGATCATAGCGATGGTTTTAACGCCATATAAATGCACTTAACGAGATGAGTTGAATACTCAAAGGTGGCTAAAATGGTGACTTTTAACGCTGTGTATATTATGTTGTGCTTTTTAAAAGGCAAAGCAGGATCCTCCAGCCTTCTAAAGGCTCCCAAAGTAAAGGGTCCCCTGTCTTCTGTTGAGGGATGACTAGAAATGTCAGCACTGTTAATGCTACACTAACACTAAGCACAGTGCTTGCTCTGCAGTCACTCAGAGGACCTGAAAGAACTAAAGATGACCTTGACTCCTCCTCATTGTCACTCAGAAGCCACCAAGGGCTTCACTCAAGCACCAGTCTACATCCTACACCCCTCATAACCACATCTTGAAATAGTCTAAGATGCCCCAAGCTGCCACATCTAAGGCAGTGGTCCTCAAGCTGTGGGTCATGACCCCTTGAATCAGATATCCTGCATATCACATAACAATTCATAACAGCCGCAAAATTACAGCTATGAAGTAGCAACAAAATAATTTTTATGGTTGGGGGTCACCCCAGCATAAGGAACTGTATTAAAGGGTTGCAGCATTAGGAAGGTTGAGAACCACTGCTCTAAGGTACCTTCCAGCTTAAAGGAGCAAATCAGAGTAAATGAAACTCCACGGCTGAGCCTGCCCAAGCCTGGAGACTAACCAGGAGTCCCAGAGCTACCACTACAGTGACCAAATTGAGAGGAAAGCTCACATGCTACCAGGGAGGTGAGGTCTCAGACACTTCCTTACAGGGAACCTGCCTGAGCTTTGCCTAGGGCAGAGCCATGACCCTCCCAGCACTGATTTTCCCCTCAAGCAGAGGAACTTGTGACAAAGGGGGCTTCACACAAGATCGGAATTTTTGTTTCAATTTGTGTCTGTGTTTACAAAACTAAAGAATTACTTAAGATATTTACATGCAATAAATATCAGAAATTTCAAGTATTACATACAGTCCCATGGCTTTTGACAAATGAAAATACCAGGCTGGCCACTGTCCTTTTCCCCAATTCCCTTTCTACTTCTGTGAAACCCGTCCTCCTCCGGCTCCAGATGGCAACTCTCTAATTTCTGTGTCCTTCCTAGAAACCCTCTAAACAGAGAGTGGCTTTTTTGTTCCCGGCTTTGTTTCCCTGAGCACAATGCTTTTGAGACTCACCCCCGTGGTCGCCTGTATCACGTTTCCCTTTCAGTCTGTGTTGCACTCTTGATGGAGGAGAGTTACTGAGTTGAGTGGCAGAGACTATAAGAAAGACTTTAAGACTATAAGCCCAGGGTAGCTGGTGTGTGTGTGAGTTGGAATAGTAAACATGTCTAACTGGCCAAGCCCACAACCTGAGGGCGTGAAAGGAAGTACAGGTGCAGTCAGGTAGGAGCCGTACATGCTGGCCAGATGGCATTCACCTGTGCCCATCATGGATGGATATGTTGGTGCTGGGAAGACCAGAGACTGCACTGGGAGAGCACAGACTTGATGTCATGTCCCTGATTCTTGCCAACCATGTGGCAGGTTTTGACTTCCCGGTCTCTGCTACCTATCTCTAACTAGAATGAGTACTGTCCATCATGCATGGTCCAAAGAAATAGCATAGGGGAGGTTTGAGATACTGAATAAGGAAGAATCTTGGAGAAAGATGACTCAGCATTGTGACCCCAAGAACTCAATGAAGAGACTGAAGGACAATGCTGCCATGGGCACACATGCAATGCCAGAGCATAGATGAAAACACCTGCATCCTTTTGCCACGTCAGACTTCACTGAGTAACATTGACGGAGGCAGGGGTGGGGCTTATGTTTCCTGAGACTCAAAAGATGGACTTTGCCTAAGCGATGGGCAGTTTCTAGCCACTCCCAAGGACCACTCTTTTGATTCCTATCAACCCAAGAATCCCCAGCTGCACTCGCTTGTGCCATGTCCATCTTCTCCCAGCGTCAGTAGGTATTTCCAGGTTCCAGATCAAAGTGCTCTATGCTGAATACCTATCAATTAGTCTGTGACTGTACAATGGTGGAACAAAAGTAAAATTTGAGTTAATTAGTCCATAATGAACACCTCTCTTTGATGCTAAAATATTCCTCACTGGACTTGTACCATAGGATGTCCAGCAGAATAAATGGTACGTTGGAGAATCCAGTCGCCAGGCAGTGGAAGAAGTGCTAAGGAGAGAGAACAAGGTAATGTCTCTACATTGTTCCTGGGGCCATCGTGTGTATTTCTACATGAAGTAGGAAAGGGACTTGTGATGAAGAGGTTCTATGGAAGAGGAAAGGGGTGAGAAAGAATAATGGGGTATAATTGCTAGTTACTACAGGGAAAGCTTTGATGGAAGAACACTACATATACAGATGAAATTGTGTAGTCATTTTCTTCAAATACAGAGATATTTAAAATGGCCTTCAGACCTAAGACTTGGTTGGGTCATTTATCAGAGATGTGACTTTCCCAAGTTCCTAAACAAGGTTAGCTGTTGATTCCTTATTCATAAAATGAAAATCAGCTTTTAAAGGTATCAGTGCTAAGGGAGCCACTGGAAAACCACGTAGGGTATGTGGGGTGCAGTGGTCACAGTGAGCAGTGCCTCCTTCTGCTCTCTTCAGATTTCATCCCCTTACTAAATGTGTGCCTATGGAACAATTGGGTCTTTATAGCTCACTTCTTCAGGAGAGGAGCAGGGATCATGAATACTTTGATCCAGCATATGACAAGTCATGCTGCAGCAACAGATACCCCCAATATCTCCGTCATTTATCACATGATACTATTTCTTCACTGTGCATCAGATTCAAGATAGACTTGTTAGGTCTATGTGAGGTCCTGTACCCACAGAATACCAACTTCCACCTTCCCACTCTGGCTCCCCATACATCTCCCCAGGAGTACATACTTTACCTTTTCCTTGACCAAATTCCAAGACCAAAGCAAATTTCAAAGGGAATAGGGGTTTCGGCCTACCATGTGACCAAAAGGACAGAACTCGAACGATTGCCACAGCCTTCATCACAAAGCAAGTGACTACTTTATTAGGTACAGAACTACGCTGGGTTACTTAGAGATAACAGAAAGCTTCTGTGGCTTAAGGACACCAGATCCTCAGCCTGACCACTGCTGAATGTAAAAACACAATATGAATGCATCAGTTAAGTAGTGAATAAATTATAGGTCCCCAACACATTTAAGAAAACTCAGAATTGATGTAAAAAATGTAACTATTCATCAGTTGCTATGATAAATGGAATCATGGCCATTCTCCACCCCACTCACAATGATGTCCATGGCCTAAATCCTACAACCTGTGAATGAACCATTTTATATAGAAAGGGGACTTAGCAGATTCATTAAGTTTGGGGTTAAGATGGGAAGGTTATCCTGAGTCGGGTAGCCCCCTGTGATTCCCAAAATAAGAGGGAAGCAGGAATGTCATGGAAAATATGTGATTATGGAAGTAGAGGTCAGAATGGTGGGGGCACCATGAGCAAGGACTTCTGGTGACCTCTAGGGACAATCAGAGTCACAGACACAGACTCCATCCCCTCCCCCCACACTAGCTCTAGCTCTGTGAGAACCACATTGGACTTCTGAGCTCCAAAATGATAAAAGAATGACTTTACTTTTAAGTCACTAATTTCATGTTAGTTTGTTAACACTAGCAGTAGAGACAAAGAATACTGCCAGCAAACCACCATGACCTACCAGTAATAAGTGGAACTATCCCATTCCATAGGTGGGGAGGTTGAAGTCAAGGTCTTAGTTACAGCAAAGAGATTAGTACCCATTTCACCATGTCTCAGCTGCTTCCAGCTACCATGGCAGTTCTCTGCAGTAGGATGGAGACTGAGGGTGATTGGTTAGTCCCCTGCCCTAGGATCGCTATCCCCTTCCTCTGTCATGGCCTCAGACATGCTGGCCTCTGATATCATAGGATGGGGCACAGTGATGGTGGACCTCAGGCAAGGCTTCCCTTTTTGGGTAATCATTACCCAGTGCGCTACTACATTCACATAGTTGGGCTTTCACCAGAAAACAATCTTAGAGGACTCAGATGCAGAAGCTCACATGTGAACTGTGCTGGGCGAGCAACATGCAGGCCACCCGGCATCCCTGTGGCAGGGCTTGGTGCTCCTCACATGTTCCCCCCTCCCTCCCTGTGTGCCTGTGCTGCCTCCTTCTAAGACACAGAGTAACAGTGTGAAAGCTGAACAACTGTGTTTTCCTTTTCTGTTTGCAGCAGTCTTGTCAGGATGTGTTTCCCATTTATGAGAGATAATTTAATTTAAATGAGAGATTTCCCAGATTTATTTTGACAAGTGCATTGCAGAGTTTAAAAAGATAAACCCCAGTTTGGCCCTAATTCTTGGCCTCCATCCGCCTTCCTTCTCTCTGGCAGTGTTCTGTGCTGGAGATGTAAGCCTTTGCTTCTGAATGAATGCTTTAGGCAGAGAAAGCTGCAGCTGATTCCTCATCACCCTTGATGAAGCAGGAGTAGGCATGCTTAAAGAGTTAGTCTTTAAGTTGGACTTTCAGGTTTATCATTTGCTAGCTGTCCAACCATTGGCCACATGTGACCAAGAACAGCTATGAATGCAAGCCAACATACAATTATTAATTTACTAAAAATGTTATGAGACAATTTTTGTGATTTTTTGTAACTTTTTAAAAGGATTTATTTGTATTTTATTTTTATTCAAATGTGTGTGTGTGCGGACACATACATGTGTGGGTACTCATAGAGGCTAGAAGAGCATGTTGGATCCCTCAGAGATAGGCATAATTTTGTGAGCTGCCTGATATGGGTGCTGGGAAATGAACTAGATTCTTGTGATCGAGCAATAAGATCTCTTAATGGCTGAGCCATCTTTCCAGCCATTTTTTCCTTTGAAATTTTGACTGCTCATTTCTCAAGCAAGAACTTTGTAGATGACAACCTCAATGGTGGACACATTTAAGCCTGAGAGATTTGCTTAGGCTCAGAAACCAAATCTCTGTATCTGTAAATGGGGGTAAAAGTCTTTCCTCAAGATTTATGTAAAGGCCAGATGAAATAATGCATGCAAGATGCTGGTCACCTCAAGGTGGCTCTCAGTAGACTTTGACTGCCCATATAGTTATAACATATGCACAAAATAATAATGCTATTCTTGAATTTACTGTTTGTTAAAGAATCATATTGCATGACATTGTTTTTTATATATTAATATCTTATTATAGATTATATTATAGATTAGTTATCAGTATCACTCAGTATCACATGCAAACTGTATAGATAACTATATAATGATTAGAATTATAATTCATCATACATACTGACTACACCTATGCTATTTTTATGACATTTATCATCATCTACACACATTTATAGTTGCAAGCTTTCGGTAACCTCCAGCATGTGGATGATGCAGCATAATCCTGAAGCCAAGCCCTTCAGTGGGTTCAGGGGAAGCCCCCCTTTCAACTTCACACCTTCATCTTGAGTGATTCCCTCCAGTGTGGCTGATTACTTCTGTCCCATGCCCTAGTCTCAGTCCTCGGTCTCTCTGGTCCTGTTGATCTTTTGCATACATTTGCTGCCCACCCTGTGGCCTCAGACACTGAAGATTCTTGCACCTTTCCTATCGCCTCTCCCTTGCCCTGTCCTTGCCTTGACCTCACTATAGGCTCTATTTCCTGCCCCTCTCTCTACTCATTTTCACATCAGTCTCTGCAAAGCCCCATCCCTCTTTCGGGAACCCTGTTCCTGCATTGAAATTTCTCCTACACGGGCATCTCATCTCTTGGGCTAAGATCTTTGCATGATCCATGATGGATTCCATTCTTCTCTCTAGAATAAGATTCAACCTCCAGGATGAACAGGGGACATGTGAACAGTGACAGGTGTAGAGGAACACACCAGAGATAGAGAAGGAGGACCTCCCAGTGCAGAAAGGGGCCAGTATGCAACAGATAAGAAACCCAGAGCATGTGTCCATTCAGAGAGTGGTAGCCTGGCTGGAGCCAGGAGCTGGGGACAGGAAATCAAACAAAGGACCAGAGAGTAGAACAAGATTTGAAAGATGGAAGTACCATCATGCATCTGGTACACTCTCAGAAGGCAGTAAAAAAAAAAAAAAAATCTTATCCATGCAGACACTGTGTCAGCCATTGCTGTCCAAGACACCTGAGAAAACTTTAAGAAGGAAGAATTTCTTTGGGCTCCAGGTTTGCTTTTAGGTCTGTGGCAAAGCAGAAGCGCTATAGATGAAGGGCTGCCCACCTCACAGTAGCCAGGAAGCAGAGAGAAAAGAAGACCAAGATATATAAATATATTTGGTTTTTTGAGACAGGGTTTCTCTGTGTAGCTTTGCCTTTCCTGGAACTCGCTTTGGAGACCAGGCTGGCCTTGAACTCACAGAGATCCACCTGCCTCTGGCTCCCGAGTGCTGGGATTAAAGGCGTGCACCACCACCTCCCGGCAAGATTTATTTTTCAACACCGCCACACACATACACAATGGCCTACTTCCTATGACTAGGCGCCACCTCCAAATAGCCCATTCAGCTTTGAACTCACCAGTGGGTAAACCTCATGATGTTAGCACTTTCATAAACCATCTGCCTCCTTATAACACCACCAATTAACACATGAGCCTCTTGAGGGGACACTTCATATCCAAACCCCAACAGGAACTCAGGAAAAGCTCACTGAGTTAAATGGAATGTGAAGTTGGACCACCAAAAACTAAATCCATTTAGGAATCTCACAAAACCATCATTGCTGACATTACCTTAAGGCCAGGGTTCCAGAACACCTGAGAAGATAACCATAACTCCTTTTGCTTCAGGATGGTACCTTTTTGGTCCGAGATTGTTCCACAAAATCCAAGGCAGAACCCTATGTTTTGATGGTGTTTCATGGAAACAAAGTCTACAATGTGAAAATTCGTTTCCTAGAGAGCAATCAGCAGTATGCTCTGGGGACAGGACTCAGAGGAAATGAGGTAGGTGCAATCCAACCACTTCCCTTACCTTGGCTATAAGTAAAAAAGAAATCAAGAGTTTGGGAGGTACTAGATGCATGTCTATGTACTCCAGCAAACACAGGACAAGACTGAAAAGACACTGCAATGATACCCGTCCAGCCCCATTCATGAACATCCTGGCACATGTTGTGTTGTGTGCGTTAGTTTACCAGGCCAGCAGCCCACAATGCCACTGAATGTCCTCCATCCTTCTAAAGCTATTAGAGAAACTTATTCAGAAAGAAGCAACTGCATTCTGCCTTGTGCAGAACTTCCCTTAGACCATGCTGATACTCCACCCACCCCCCTTCTGCCATGTTCACTGCAGGAATTTCTGAAGTCCAGTGTCATTCACTTATCCACAGGATTGGGTCCTCAAAATGAGTGTGCATTCAACAGTAGCATTTGGTGCTAAGCTGAGGCCCCCTTCTCAGTAGAGGTATGCTGATGTGAGGCCTTCTACTGACAAATCTGTCAGTTGCTGTGCCTAATAGCACAGACCAATCATCCCACCTACTTAAGAGGCTGAGGCAGGAAGACTGCCAAGACTAAGCTAGGCAACTTAGTGTGACCCTGTCTTCAAATCAAAGGTACAAACGAGAGTTGAGGGTGGACCTCAGGGGTAGAGTGCTTGCCTAGCATATGTGAGGCCCTAAGTTCAATCTACAGTATTACAAAAAAATCACCCAAACATCAATAAATAACTATACAAATTGGTCAAAAGGAGATGGTTCAACTGAATACATATTCCAGGTCTGTTCTGTGGGCATCGTCCTATTTCAATCCTCAACAACTCTTTGATGTGATCATTCCTATCTCAGAGTTACAAAAGGTGAGTCCTAGAAAATTAAGTAAATGGTCAAAGATGGGGTCAATAAGCAGGAGGGTGAGCAAAGGCTGTACTCCCAGGCTTTCTCTGATGAAAAAATAAAAAAGAAAATGGGGAAGAAGGGAGTTAGTTATACAGCACCCTCCACTAAGGATGTGAGCTTGGGCCCATCCTTTGCTATTCTGAGCACTAATCCCAAGTGCAAACTCTTAGGATCTGTATCCCTGTAATTCCGGGATAGCCAGGATGGTTCTGGAAGTCAAGGCTCCAAACTTTGACTTTATCTGCTGGTGAGGTCATGGTGTGGAGTGGGAGTCTCCCTCTCACAAGTTTCAGAATGATATCTGGAGTTTAAGGAGTTCACAACAGGACTACATTTGGAAATAAAGCCTTTACAGATGTACTTAAGGTTAAATGACAGAGGTAAGCTCTAATCCAACAGGACTGGCTTCTTTAAATAAACAAACCAATATTTTAAGAAGAGAAATCACAGGGCTAGGAAGGTGGCAACAGGAAGATCCCAGAGGCTCAATGGCAGTCAGGTTTAGCCTGCTTGGCAAATGTCAGGCCAGTGAGAGAACTTGTCTCAAAACATAAGGTGGCCAGCACCTGACAAATGATACCTGAACTTGTTCTCTGCCCTCCTGATATACACACATGTATAGACACTTAAGCACACACAAAGATACATACTTGAGCACATACATACAAATAAGAAGCACTAGGAAATCAGAGGGTCAGAGATACAGTGATGGACAGCATCTTTCATCAGTGTTCTTGGTCTGTGTTCCATTCACACTTCATCTCTCCTAGAAAGGGGGAGAGGTATCTGTGTCTCCTGGGACTCTGGTACTGCTGCAGTCCAAGCTTGAGGTTGCAAGGACTTTTCTCAAACATTCATAATGAGGCTCAGATGTTGGCCTCATCTCTTAGGCCAAATTCACCAGAATGGCCTGTGGAAACTCCTGCATTGAGAGACAAGGGAAGGGATCTGCCAGGAAGCAATACCCCCTATACAATAAGCCTAGCAGCAAGGGAAAAGGTACACAGTAGAAAGCTTGCTGCCTGGAAACCAAGCATACAGTCAACTCTGGCTGGAAATGCTAGTAAGGATGAAGAGCAGCTTAATAGAAGCCAAGGATCTGGATGTACAACCAAGATAAAAATGGTTTATTACCAAAAAGAAAGACTGGGATTTGGCTTGTGGATAGAGTACTGGCCTGGCATGCATGAAGCCCCCGGTTCAATCTGCAGGTATGGGGTACACATCTGTAATCTCAGCACTTGGGAAGAAGAGGCAAGAGGATCAAGTTCATCCCCAGTTTTATAGTGACTTCTAGGCCAACATGGGCTACACGAGACCCTATATCCGAAAGAAAGAAAGAAAGAAAGAAAGAAAGAAAGAAAGAAAGAAAGAAAGAAAGAAAGAAAGAAAGAAAGAAAGAAAGAAAGAAAGAA